TACAGCTAGTTTATCAAATTGAATTATATAATTGCATCTGCCAACATATACTGTATCTTATATTATTTTAATTTCTGGCACATCTCAGCTGGTTTTCGGCAATAATATTGTAGATATTACACTTTTCTTATTCATAATCATGAATATGTTTTTGATTTTTAGGTAATATTTGAAAGAAAGCGAAAAATCCACCAGAAGTTTAAAAATAATACTTTTTTTCTTCCCAGGTAATGCTTTCCGGAATGAGATATCACCCAGAAGTGGTCTGATCCGTGTCAGAGAATTCACCATGGCTGAAATTGAACATTTCTGTGACCCCAACGATAAGTCTCATCCAAAATTCTCCGATGTTGCAGAAGTTGAAATGGTCTTGTACTCGGCTTGCAATCAGATGGATGGAAAGAGTGCTGAAAGAGTTAAAATCGGGGAAGCTGTCAAAAAGGTTAGTAATAATAATGGAACTACTGAGTTTTTGTACTTACAAAATGTTATTCATCTGTCTTTAATCTCAGGGTTTAGTTGCCAATGAGACTTTGGGTTACTTCATGGCTCGCATACAACAATTTTTGCATAAACTTGGTATCGATCCAACCAGATTGAGGTTCAGGCAACATATGGGAAATGAAATGGCACATTATGCATGCGATTGCTGGGATGCTGAGTGTCTCACAAGTTATGTAAGTAGGAAATGGATTTTGTATTGGTATTGTGTATTAAATTTAATGTGCCATTTCATTTCAGGGTTGGGTGGAGTGTGTTGGTTGTGCCGATAGATCTGCATACGATCTGACACAACATTACAAAGCCACCGGTGTTAAACTGGCTGCCGAGAAGACTTTACCACAACCTAAAAGTGTTGAGGTAAGATAAACATGAAATTGATACATTTATGGGGCAATTCTGCCGTAACAGAGTTCATAAAATTGCGTTGTCATGGCAATGCTCTTTTATGCTGGTAGTGAAATTATGAAAATTATAATGTTTTACTTATAAACAAGCAAGTAAGAATCTTATGATAACTGCACCATTTAGAATTCTGTTATCATAACATTATTCCTTGCTTTGTTTATATGTAATTTATCAATTTCATGTATCATTTTTCTTTTAGGTTGTGGAAGCCGTACCTAACAAATCAGTATTAGGCAAAACTTTCAAGAAAGATGCAAAAGCTATAACAGATCTTTTGGCTAATTTAAGTCTGGATGAACTCAGGACAATGGAAAAGAATCTCGCAAACGGGTAAATAGGATTTGATAATAACTTTATAAGGTTGTGTAGTATTTTCTTATTTATATTTTAAATATATAGCCCACAGATTTCTTCCAAGAGGGCTTAAAAATACAATTATTTTACATTATGGATAACAATTAACATACAGTAGAACTCCAATTATCTGAATTAATGGGGACCGGGTCCGATTCGGATAATCAAATATTCGGATAATCAAATATTCGGAGTTTTTTTTAAAAAAATTGCCATTGGAAAGAAAAAAAGTTACGTTTTGATATTGCACTATTTTTTTATTGAATTAAATGAAAGAAACGTGACATTTTCACATATTTTAAATAAAAATAAAATGTACTTATGTACAAGTTTAGAAATAAAAATCATTGTTTTGTAAACATCTCGGTCAAATCAAAACAAACAATGTGCCTGCGCTGGCTTCGCTGGTGGAAGAATAATAGCGCACTTAGACTTTTTTTGGACAATTTTTTTTTTGAAAGTGATTCGGATAATCGGCAATTCGGATAGTCGGAGTTCGTATAATTGGAGTTCGGATAATTAGAGGTCTACTGTATATACAAAATTACAATATATATATTCTATATGTTTAATAAATATTTTCAGTGGACACACAGTTGCTTTACCATCATCAAGTGAAATAACACTTACAAAAGACATGGTTTCGGTTAAAAGTGAAACGAAAACGGTGCATGTTGAGGATATCGTGCCTTCTGTCATTGAACCATCATTTGGTAAATATTTATAGACATATATATGTATACATATATATATATATATATATATATATATATATATATATATATATAGTAGCAAACCCGACGAACTCCGTTTCGCCACCAGATGGTTCCATGAGAAAGATAAAGAAATTTTTTGTTTGTTTTATATTTGAAAAGGAAAAATGTGATTTTATCATACAACAGTAATGAATTTATTTCGATTACAAACATGAAGTGTTCTTTAGTTGAACTTCTCTAAGTAAATGAAAGTGAATCTGCAAATCATCCGTTTCATTGAAGTGCTTTTTGGTAAACCATATTTTTTATTTTTTGGTCTGACGTTAACACACACAAAGCGGATGGTTTTCCAACTCGTGAACAGGCAACGTGTAACTGCCCATGTGAAAAACAATGATTTTCTAAATAATCTATTTGGAATTTATCCCGCAAACACTAAGCTATTGGCCTTGCGACTTGTTAATTGTCATTGCGAACGCAAGGCGAACAGGAAATTGCAATCGTTCGAAGTCAAACGGAAGACCAGTCGGAATCATTGGTATGTCACCAAATCGCCAGCAACTTTTGATTGAATGGTGAAATTCGTGCGTGTACATCATTATTCTTTGCGGCAAGAATTGCTCGTTGACTTAATTGCAAGCATAATTCTGATAATTCTCACTAACGTCTTTACTCGAATTTTTATTTACGGTGCGTGAAGTTCCAGCAATTTACATTAGGGCACGATGCCATTTACCACTAATTTTCTTAGCTATAAACCTTGCGGTGCCCGAGACCTTTCCAACGAATGCAAAATTGTCGAAATCGGTTCGTGCGTTCTGGAGTTTGTCGTCAGGGAGGAAAACCCGACTCATTTTTATATATACGTAGATATATATATATATATATATATATATATATATATATATATGTTTGTTTCTTTTTCTAGGTATTGGTCGAATAATGTACTCCCTCTTCGAGCATAATTTCAACACCCGAGAAGGTGATGAACAAAGAAGCTACTTATCACTGCCAGCGTGCATCGCCCCCTTAAAGTGCTCCGTTCTTCCTTTAAGTAGCAATGCACAGTTTGTGCCTTACGTTAAACAATTATGTACGTATGATAAATTATAGATAAAACCAAGTCATTTAGAATTAAAATTGATTGTGATATTTCTTTGTGTTTTCAGCGAGCGCCCTGACAAGGGTGGATGTATCTCATAAAGTTGATGATTCCTCGGGCTCCATCGGCAGGAGATATGCTAGGACTGATGAAATTGCTATTCCATACGGTAATAAAAAGAAATTATTAATTATATTATTGGTATTAACTTTTATGTTCTGTATAGTATGGAATTTACACTTCATTTTAGTTTTAATTAATTAAACCATTCAAAATTTTTCTAAATTTTCACTCCATGATTGAGATAATTCGAGATTTTCATCTTATTCAAACAATTTAAATGATATGATTTGTACTTATAATTTTTCCTTAATTTGCTTGTTATATTCTTATATCAATATTGAACACTAACAATACAGGTTCAAATTTTAAATTCAAATTTATATAAATGTTTTCATATTTAAACTTAATAATTACAGTCTTAATATATTCTTTATAGGAATTACTATTGATTTTGATACGTTGACTACAGACAGTGTAACTTTACGAGAAAGGGACAGCATGGGACAAGTTAGAGTACCTGTAAGTATTCCTCTATTTATATATATAGAGTAAATTTATTACTTTGTTTCCTCTATCTAGTTGTCTGAAATTGCCGACGTCGTAAGAGATTTATCGCAAAGCAAAACTTCATGGAAAGATGTGGAACAAAAATATCCTAAATTTGAAGCTCAGGAAGCCAATAAGACTGAGTAAAACACTGGCACGATACTTTCATATTATATAAGAGGCTTTTCAATTACTTTTGCAAGGTATTTTGTTATTAAATATATTTATACATCAATTTTATACCTCAATTTGAAGATGCTTTTAATATTGTTAAAACTATAAATGAATTTTAATATTGCATTTATTATTTATCCTTAATAGATAATTAAATATAAATATCAGATTTTTTTCCATTTTTCTTTGTAAATTGATTTATAAATTATATAAAACTGTTGTTTCATAATTACCTTGAGTAATAAATTATCTTTTAATATATATTTTTAATTACAATATTTATACAATTTTGTTTGAAATATCAATTTGCTAGTGAACTAAATAAATTAGCAATTTTATAATAATTTTTATTAAATTAATACAAAACAATAAAAATACTGTACAAACATTTTTTTCTCATTCATAACGCTATATGCATATCTGGTTCTATAACTATTTCATTTATATCAACTAATGCTTTAACATCTTCAATTTGTTTATTATCAAACACAAGTCTCACAATAGTTTCAGCCACATTAATTTTATCCACAGATGATGGCAGATCTAAAACATATCCAATAATATATATATATATATATATATATATATATATATATATATATATATATACACAAATATCATAATGACCTAGCTTTCATTTACCTGTTTTATTCGTTTCGCCTTTCTTATGAGTATTCATATGTGCAGCTAAACAATGTGATTGTATAAAACCTTTCCCACATACATTACAAATATGGTCTCGTTGTCCTGTGTGTATTTTTTTATGAACTGCCAGGGTGCTAGCACGATTAAAGGATTTTGAACAAAAATTACACTGATAGGGCTTTTCACCAGAGTGTATTAAGGAGTGACGCTTTAACTGATCTTTAGCAGAAAATCTATAAATAAAAAATAATAATATATATATATATATATATATATATATATATATATGTGTATATGTATATATATATATATATATATATATATATATATATACTAGATGTCCCGACAAACGTTGTCCTGTACCCACATCTACAATTTAAGTTCAATTTTTTTTAATATCCTATCCTATACTTTTTAATGGCCTTCCATTTATATTCTTAGCATAAGCTATTTACGTATTGGAAACTGCAGTTTTTTTCATCAATATAAGAAATTCAGAAAGAATAAATAAAGTATCTACAGTAAAATAACAATATCACCTTTGTTATTTCCAACCAATATAATTGCTTCAATAATTTATATCATATATAATAGTCTATAATTTTTATAATAGTGTACCCTATATTAGTTGCTTTTTGGCAATTACAATTTCTGAATTACATTTTTTTTTACTAATAATTTAATAAACATAATTACTTCAGTTAAAATCTTTAGGTAAAATATAGTTCTTATTTTTTTAATCAGTAGAAATATTCTTTTGTATTTAAATAATTTAGTAAAGTAAAGCAAAATACAACAGGCATAAGTT